GTTTGACTTATTAACCAATCTCTTAAATAATCTTTAATATGATATAAATTTATATAAATAAATTAATAAAAAAAAATGTATTCTAAATTTATTTTTAATGACTGGAATGGTTTCTCAAGGGAACAGCACTTTTATTGAGTATTTAAGTTTTATCTTCTGTTACGTAGAGTTGTGTAATTAAGAAGTGAACGCTTAAAAAAAACTCAGTACTGCGTTGTTGAAGATAAAAGAATTTTCTAAAAATTATAAAAAAGAAGCTATAAATAAAAACTAGTGTTGACTTTGATTTTCGTCATATTTCTAAAATGTTTTATTAATGTCGTTCTCCTCCCTTCATCATAAATTCACATTTGAAGAATATTTAATCTGTCATCCTTTTAATCTGCTAAGCGTCCTAACGCCAGTTCTCGTATCGGTCAAACAATTTCATGTATGTCCAGCTAATCGCATTCGAGGACACCTCTAAGTAATTAAATTGCGGTTCTCAATCCGCTACCAAGGCGCAATAGTAACACGTCGCAATCAGGATTTAGCAATCAAACAACGTTTGAGTCAATGTTATCGTAATTAAAACACTACAATTATGAATCATATCAACTGAATAACGATACACAATATCCTGAATTAATTTGAAAAAGGTTACCTCATCAATACTGATAGTTGAATTATGTTCACCTAGAATTGGCTTAATGACCTGGTGATATTGATATTCCCATATCAACATCACCAGGTGATTCATCCTGATTGATCCGTCCTTGACTTATCTAAAACTTGTGTAGTAGTATCTTTATGGATTGAAGCTGCATTATATAGTATTAACTTAAATAATCTAAACACCATGACATTTACCCTAATTAGACTACTCACAACTGAGTAACTAGTTGCCCACTTGGTTGAAATGCTTACTCTCTGAATCATACATAATGAAAACTAAATTTATTTAAATTCTTGTCATAATTTCATATGCTTGATTTGAATAATTGAGTATTTTATGACAATTACCATCGGTGAATTTAATGGACCTATGGCCGTATTGGGGTCCAAGGAGGCACAGTAAGGGTCGGTTATACAACCACTGTACTATTTCCTATCCAGGTGGAACGGATCTTGATATGAATCTGATAGTGAGGCTATAGCATTTCGAAAGTCGCGAATACTTACTAAAAGGTAAGGACAGTTCGTCCTGTGATTGGAGCAATCGCCATTCCAAGAACATCAACTGGTCTAGTGGTAAGTAAATAGCCAAATATAACAACAATAAAACATTTACTAGGTACTAGGTACTAGTCCCTAGCCGTTATATTAGGTGGTCATTTGCAGGCCTGGACATTTCTTTTTTTTTTAAATTTTCTGATATTCCACTTACGTTTGCAGTTTCAAATTTGCTTTTTTTATTTGTAAAAAGAATTGACAAATAAATAATTCTACAAAGTGAACTGCTAATAAAGTGAACCTAAAAAATGATACAAAACTGTTTATTGAGAAATACAACGTCACTCAATCACATGTCTTAGCCAGGGCTACTTGTATTAGACCATTTGAACATCTGTCTAAAACGTCACGTATCCGTTACGCCAATTATGGGCCAATATCCAAGTCTTGATCTAGCGGCATTGACTTCAATTAGACCTATTTGTATATAATTCAGCATTGATTGCGAGTGTCTTGGAGCTTTATAAGCTGGGCATATTTTTTTTGAGATCATTATGAGTAATGAATCGATTAAAATGCAGGGTCGATCTTCCTGCTTAGTTTGTTATCTGCTTAAATCTTCGCAGTTTCTTTACACTGCAGCCTAGGCAAAGACCTCATACCACCATCAAGTAACTCAACTATTTGTAGGGGCCAGTTACCATATCTGCTAATGGTTCATACCAGTTTATTGTCTTAAAGGCTAGTCAAAGTGACCCCTGGATGAACAAAACTCCATATCTCCGTATCTAAAATAACATCTACGTTAAGTTGTCGAGAAAAGTATGAAAAGTTCTAAATCTATTGCAAAGCAAGAACTTATTTAAGCTGCTTTTAACAAAAAGATAAAATGAAACAAATTTGTTCTGAGCTCATAGAAATTGTATAACAGTCATACAGTTTTTAATAGTATCATGACAATGTTTATTTATTCTAATCTTAAAGTAGTGCTTATAATTGTTGACTTATACTTAAGTTACTTTAAATTTCACAATAACAGTAGAATATGACATGAAACTAAAAATAAATGTTATCAAATTCAATTTAGTTAACTCAACACAGTCATGACTACCGTTCTTTCGTTAACGGTAGCTTTCAAAGAAATACCACAATTTAGAAAGAAAATCAAAAGTCGCAGTGGTTTTTGGAAATTAGATTCCGGTGTGATAATATGATTTGTAAGTCATAGGATTTATAACCGGTGATTGTGATTTTATTCCATCCCCACTGTTTATAATTTTGAAAATACTTACCGTTTAGTTATTACTCACTAAAGCCAATATACTCTGTGATGCTGCAGACTGTACCATTCTATGGAAGAAAATGGTGACGGAGATTATAATAAAAAGCTCTTCCTACTATGAAAATATAAATAACTTTGAAACTCAAACAACTTACACCTGAGTGGCATGACTTAATAAATTTTAATAAGCTATGGTGGCAGAAGATGGGTTATCAAGTTAGGAACTTGCTATCATGCATATTTAAGTTCACCTTGGCCTAGTTTAGTTGAAACAACTTTTGCTATTATAAAGAAATTAGTAGTAGTAAATATGATGCGGTGTTCATAGTATATCTTATTGAATTGACTAAATATATTATACCAGAACTAGATTGACTTCAATTATAGTTCATATCAAATAAAAATAGTAATCATTTCTCTCTGTGAAAGGTGAAATTAAGATCCTCTTATCTAAGAGGATCTTAATTTCACCTAACACCAACAAATGTAAGTGTAAACAAATCTCACCAACAACAGATGTTCCTCACTTACATTTAAATCAAAAATTTGGTCACCACGTTTAGCTCTATAGTGTTAAAGAATCATGATTTACTTTTGTACTATATTTATATTTTAGCATATATTATTTATAATTTGAAAATAATCTGGACGATCTATAAGATTTTTTAGATAAAAAGATCTTTTGATCCATAATCGCTGTGGGAACAATGATTTTATAATATATTGTATCGCTTATGTGTAAAATTACATTAATGAGTTCTGATTTTCGATGTCTATTCGAAAAAAATATTTGATTTTGTTTAATGCTCTATCAATATGTTTTCACGTTGAACTGTCGTATGTTCCATCGCAAAGAAGTGAGTGAGGTACAAGCATAACGTGAACATTACATCAGCCAAGTAAAAATCATACGGTTTTCGACAATGATCCTTTGTTTTTGCGGGTGTTAGCCTGATACTACGAGTAGTTTGATCTTACTGATATGAGCCTCTGTGAGTTACACTATAACGTGTTTATCGCACGCATCTGTTTATTAAGAGAATTTGTATTTACTGTGACATTGCGAAAGATTTTATTTTAAATATTTGTATTATTTTCTCTAATTGAATATGTAAATAGGTTTGACGTAGTTCTTTCAATAAATTAATTTTCTTTCATGTTGATGATTAATAGATTCAAATGTATTAACTTAACTGTAAATGGATTATTGCGCAACATTTGAATCAGTATTCAAGTTACAGAAAATTTACGAATTGTGTTACAAAAACTGGAGAAAATGATTAACTAAATTATAGGCAATGTCAAGATTATGTAAGAATATTTTTGAATTCAGCAGGTGATACTGTGCGATTATTATATGGTTGGGGTGACCGCCGCATTCGTGTCACGTACCACCGGCTTTGTCAGATTTGGTTCCAGGTACGCGTCCGGCGAGATCTCTAGGCGCCTCTAAGTCCATTTTACTTTCTTATAAACGAAAAATAATACCTCTATATTTAGGTAAGTATGTTTGAATACAATGAACCAGATTTTAGTCATTTTGACCATCTCTAGGTAACAGTAGTTTTCTCTAGACGATCCTATATCTTTTTCAGGGTGTTTAATTTGTATGATGATACATAGATTCATAATTAAAAGGAGAAAGCGAGACAAACAAAAAACTCTTATTTACATTTATTATATTAGTTAGGATTTAAATGATTGACTTTTCAGAAATGTATGTACTAAATGACTGTTTTGATTCAATATTGTGTATTAATTAAGAAGGTTAGCATTCGTAGATAAATACAAAATATTGTTATTTTAATTCAATAACTTCATCAAATTACATATTTCTTGTTTATTGTTTCACCTGTAATATGAAGCCTTATAATTGATCGTTGTTGTCATAGCTGTTTTTTTTTTAATTTCTCTGTCATCTGTGTACTAACATATAACATAGCGTAATTTTTGTTTATGTTACAGTAGTTAAGTTAAATGTAATTTTATGACATAAAAAGGTTACAGAGGTTCAATGAAAATATAAAATTTTCACACAGTTAAGAAAAAAAATTACATAAAAAATCATCTCAAGTAAACCCCGCAGATCCAAAGAGCTAATCTAATTCAGGACCTACTCGTAGGAATATGTTCTTAAAATAGATTAGCACTATACAATACTTTAATTCATATATCATGCATATTATATTATTACAGTGCGGGATCAGACTGCCGTGTGTGAGATTTGATTATTATATTCCGATTTATAGATAAGGAAATAGAAATAAAATAAAAGGTTTATAGCAAAAATTATCACAATGGCTTTATTAAAATACATAAATAGTATACTCGTGACTTAAATGGACATTTATTTACAATCTATTTACAAATTCACATAGTAATTTCTACAGCAGTCTTATAGAATGTATTTACACCAACATTACGAAACGCCCTTTGTAACGGCGAGAAATTACAAAAATACATTAAAAGTTTAATTATTTGGTAAAGCGCGCGTTGCGAGTAATACAAATATTCACATGAAGCTTCGACTAAAAGATTTTACATGAACTTTTATGAGAAGCAAAGACTAGACAAGGTAGGCCTGACCCGAAGACTGAGTATCGATTAATGGTGGCGGCGGTGGCCAATGTCTGAACTCTCGCCTTCTGTTTGGATTGTTTGCACCTAGTTCTAAAGATGAATAATCAGAATCTATAGAAGAATATATATGATCTGAAGGTGGCCTTCCATCAGGCCCGTAAGAACCAGTTTGAATGTGTTGTGGACGATTATCAACAAATTCAGGTGTAGTACTTACACCATCTGCTGATCCTCTCATTTTCTCAGTGAAAGAAAATGATCTCATTGTCCCATTTTGCATACCACTTCGCATTGTATATGAATTTATATTATTTCTGAAAGTGGCTGGTTTAGACTTGTATTTCTGATCTGGCATAGCATAACGCAGCTTTTCCCAGAATTTTTTTTGGCCCCATTTTATCCTTGAACTCGTCTTTAAATACGGCCTTAAATCAGGATCACATTCAGCTTCAGGCAAAACTGAACTTTCCTCTATTACTATTAAAGTATAAATTCGTGGCTTTAAGATTTCATACAGCGCTTGGCGAAATTCAAAACGTGACCACTCCGTTTCTATAAAGTTTCTTGTTAGGACGATTATAATGCGTTTTGATGCTTCTGCGGCCTCTGGTAGAGGTAACGTACATTGCATGTATGCCACATTATGTTGGGGTATATCTCTGTAGTGTAAACAAAGATGATACGAGGGGCTTCCATTTTCCAATTCAGCGCCTAAAGTTTGAATAACAAAATCATCATCCTTTGGACTGTAGCAAATATAAGCATCGTATAATTTATCAGTGTCATCGTACGGTCCAGTAAATGGAAACAATCTTATACCGCAGCTTGTATAAAGCCATATGCGAATCGTGTCTCTGAATAAGAAAATCACAAGGATGACTAGCATAATTAACATGAATCCGGAGAGCGTAGTCACCATCATAGGCATGTAATTTGAAACCAACATATTATCTATAACAGAATCTCCAGCATAGTAGTCGCTACAAATTGTACCATTCAAATTTAGCTCTTTCTTTTGTTTAGATTTTGGATCAGTATTCCAACACCACACATCAGTAATGTCAATAACTTTACCAGCATTGTCTGATATGTATGAAGTAAATTTTTGTAAATATCGACATTTACACGACCACATGTTGTTACCTAATGCGAGTGAATTTAGATGTTTATTAATGTTTAGAGTCCAAACACTAAAATCAATTAACCTATTGCCGTCTAACCTCAAATTTTTTAATGAGTTCAAAGTTAAAAATGTTGTGTTTGCTATATGGCTGATAAAATTGTCTTGTAGGAAAAGTTCGTTGAGCTGCGTCAAATGTTCAAATTCATAGCCATTTAAATGTGTTAATTTATTGTTACCGAGATGCAGCGTATTAAGAGAGGATAAACCGGCGAATGTTCTATTTTGTATATTTTCTACTTCACTTGAATTAACATATAAAACTCTCATATTTTTTCGGCCAATAAATGCATAATTTTGTAATACTTTTAAATCATTGCCATCTAAATAAACCTCGGTTGCGTCCATAGGTATTTTTTCTGGTATTTCTACAGCACGTTGGCCTGAACAGTCCACCACGTTCTTATTCCATGTTGGATCATGATAACAAGAACAATTATAGGGGCAGGTCATTTGGCAATCACATGCTACGTAATCACAACAGCGGCACAGAGTAAAACAATGCGTCTCGTACGTACATAGGAAATCTGTAGACTTTAAATTGCTTAATGGAATATGGGTTACACCTCTAGAATGTGTCATTTTGCACAACACATTCTCAAGGTCCATTATTCTCGGATGTTGTCTCATCGCAGTCATATTGTTTATCAAAGGCAACCATTCCATAGAGCAATCACAGTTAAACGGATTCCCTCCAATGTAGAACTCAGGCAACGACTTATTCAAGGGAACTGGGGACAACCGGAGGCTATTGATATCTAAATGAGATATCTCATTTGCGTAGATATCAACTCGAGTGAGATTACGTTTCTCCATAAACGTATTTACTTGAATACTGTTTATGTGGTTATTGTTTATAAATAGTAACTCTACACTATTTGGAATTGCAAGTGGTGAAATATCTATTATTCGATTATGGCTGACGTCTAATGTTTTTATATGAATTTCATTCTGTAGTTTATAATAATTACCTAAGTGTTCAATAAAGTTTCCGTGCACATCGAGCCACTTAAGGTTGCTAGGTATAAAAGCGTAATCAAACCAAACCAAGTGATTGTCGGATAAGTTTAACCACAATAAACTAAGTAAGGTTGCAAAAACTCCATTTATATCTGATATGAAATTACCATCTAATCTGATCGCTTCCAGTTGTTTATTATTTACAAAAGTGCCTCTTTCCACGGCTTGGACTTTATTCTTGGCCAAGTTTAACACCTGCAAGCTGGGTAAATCAAAAAACATACCGACTGTAAGGTTTCCAATTTGATTGTCAATTAATCGTAAACCGGTTAATTGATCTAAATTTTTAAAAGAACCGTTCTTGATATCAGTTATTTGATTTTCACCAAGATCTATGGTTTTCAATAGAGATAATTCCCAGATGGCAGTTGGAACTTCCGTTAATTGATTTGAACTTAAATCTAATTCTTTAAGATCAGAACAATTTTTAAACGCCTTCGGATCTATATTTATAAGCAAATTATTATTCAGGTTCAATTTACTAAGTACAAACAATCCATTGAATAGGAACCCGTCTATAGTATGCAAGCGATTTTCAGCTAAATTTAATGTATGTAAATTATATAAAGGAAGAAAAGTATTATCCTCAACATAACCTATTGAGTTATTCCTTAAATCTAATATCTGCAAAAAGAATAAATCTTTAAATGTCTTTCCATCTATCCTAGTCAATGCATTATTGGATAAATTCAGTATGACTAAGCGTATAAGGCCAATAAATGTACCACCGTCGACATAAGTGCTTGAGAGTTGATTATTCGATAAATCTAAGACAAGCAACTGTTCTAATCGGTGGAACACGCCTCTGGCTAGTTCAAATAACAAGTTATTATTTAAATACACCTCTCGCAACTCCTTCGTGCTTGCAAACGTACCCTCTGGTATAAACTGTAGGCTATTATAAGAAACATTTAATATTCGAAGTGAAATAAGCCCATTAAATGTTTCCCCTGAAATGTCTGTAATATTGTTATATTGGAGTCTTAATTCTTGAAGACGTTTTAATCCTGTAATTTCGGACTCTTCGGAAAGGGACTTGAGCTCATTGTGGCTTAGATCTAGACTCCGCAAACCGGACCCACAGTTTTTTCCAAATCCAAGACGATCAACGCTTTTAATCTTATTTTGAGTAAGATTCAACATTTGCAGATTATCCAAAGGGCAGAATACATCTTGAGGTATTATTTTCAGATTATTCTCACCAAGATCAAGTACTTGCAACTCTCGTAAACAATTAAAAGTTCCAAGAGAGAGTTCTAAATTTTTATTAGGACTCCAATCGTAGTTTCTAGATCTTATCGCTAGTTTTTTGAGTTCACGTAAGCTTTCAAATGCGTTACCGGGTATCCTCAACAGTTTACAGTTCCGTATTGTTAGTTCAGTGAGAGATGAAAACCTTTGAAAATAGTTTGCTTCGAGATAACTTTCAAAGAGAAGCAGCTGATTACATTCGACAGTAAATCGTTTCGTATTTTCAGAGGGTGCAGATGCCAAACTGGATCCATCAGCGTCAAGCATTCGCACCCGACACAAGGTGCTTTCATCACCTTTAGATAAGCGGTTGCAGTTATCCACACCTCTTGGAGCATAAGCTGCATTAACACCTAAAGCCACAAACAAAAGAGTCAGCAATTGAAACATTTTTTACACACATTTGTCTGTACTTATTTCACAGGAGTGGTAACTGGAAACGTTCACTAAATTTAAGTCAATATGTCATAGAAACATTATTAATGTAGCACTTCACAGGTTAGTGTTTACGTCGCGGCACACGTACATTCGGTGTCGGAGGCGACGCGAACGCGTGCCGACCTCATTGTGGTTTATGTGCGACTGGCGAAACGATGGATTCGTCAGTTCGACTAGAGTGGTGGTGTTCATAGCCGCCCCTCCGAGTCTCTCCCCGCGCGCCCTGAACACCCCGCATAGTTTCACGTTCCCTTCATGGCGCCACTTGCGTGCCCGACAGCTCTCGCACAATTATGTAATGTTTTCTTAATCGAACCACCACACCGGGTTAAAAAAGAAATCCAGGAATTATGATAATAGATGCAGAGCCATGTCTTTCTTTGAAAGACCAATGAGTTATTGAATAGTTAATGAAAGAAAACTACAGGCTGCCGTAGTTTAGTCGTCGCTTTGATGATTGAATTCTATATTTTTTATAAGATGAAAAATCACTACAACTTTAGAAAGTAGTGACTACAGTTAAAACTATCTGAAGGATACAAAGTGCAAGATAAGTTACCACAGGGACCCTTAATTCCTTTCGCTGTCACTTATTGAATTCCCAGCTCACATTCTTTAGTAAAGATACCCAATAAAGCTTGTTTGGCACTATGTGCCCTTACACATATTTTTGTCTAAGGTAACGTATAGAATTTTCAAATAGTGAAGGGCGACCGTTTTCGGGCAACAAATTCCGGTATCTCGTACGGACTGAAAGAGGTGCGAAGTTGGTAGGAGTTGATAATTTGATTTCCTTGTTTGACACGTAAAGTCGTTTACGGGTCTAACTGGAAGTTAGTTACGTACAGAATACGGCCCGAGTTTGGAAGCAGACGCCCAGAATAAAGATACCAAAGTTGTTTGTTCTGAATATACCTATTAGCTTTGATACCATTATAAAGTAGAACTGAATAGGCAACAATATTAGATCTGGTTGTTGATTAGTTATTACAGATTTTAAACCATCGCCCCAATATTAATAAGTAATCATATCATTATTAAATAAAAAAAGAAATTCTGAACCAGGAAATTTAAGATGTATTTTGCTACATCTATAATTGGTAGTAAAATATAAGTTTTCTTATCTAGGTCGGGGTTGACACGACAGTGGAACAAAAACTCTGTGACGTTAAGAGGAAAGTTTTCAAGCTTAAGTGATAAAACACGTTGAAGACATCCTAAAAACACTCCGAGTACTATGATATCCTTATTATTAATGTCTAGCGCCAACGTATCCTGTATCAAAAGTTCTCCCTGTCGAGAGTTCTTAGCGCTAGCTTGATAAATGACTTCACCCACTTTTGTGAAAGTTGTTCGTATATTATTTTTTCTTTATATCTGGAGGCTGTGTCACCGGCTGCTGTTGGACGTGTCGTGACTACCAATGGCGTTTCGCTAACGCAACCCGCGTTATCTCGTCCTATTATTTGGATCGATATCGCTTTTAAACTTTTCATTTGTTGTTTATGAGATATTTTATTACACAACCAAAAAAAACGAGGCTAGTGAGGCTATCCTCATTACTCGACCTATTTTATTGAACTGACTTATCACGGTTTAATAATAAATTTAAATAAACTGAGTCCTTCAAAACACTTCTTGGACCATTATATACATACATTGGTACACTTCATTAAATAGTATCAGTTATAATACAGACACAATCTTTGAAATTACCTTGAAGAAAATATTCACGATGTAACTTTAAGTAATCAATTAAAGAAAGCTGAACGACTTAACATTGCTATCTACCATCTGAAGACGCACAAAAGTAAAATATATAATCGTTTAGGATTTTATCCGTACCATTAAGAATAACGACTTCTCTTTTGCATAATTCCATGGTAAGAAAGTGTAATTAAAATGCACATTATTCGAGCCTAGCACGTAGCTAATTTTATCTGTAATCGTGTTTTGAAAATATGCTTGTGATACTTTTATTAGGAATAGTGATATTCGAGCAAATATTTTGCATAAAACAATTTATTGTTTACATACAAACTTGGTTACGTACATCGATGGGAGTCTTAAGTATATTAATAACAGAATAGCTTTACTTGAAATACATTGATTAATGGTTCTGTGTCCTTGTCAGAATTTGCATACTACATGCTGCGATTTATGGTTACGTAAAAATTGTAATAACGTGAACGTATTTTAGTTGAATATCTGCCCATATCATAATGGAAGATCAAGTTACTTTTTGTTTTGTACGCTTTAATTAGTAAAGGATTATCCACAAAAATATTAAATATTACCCTTAGCTTTCTATCTATAACTCGCCTTTAAGTCAAGCAAGTTTTTTTATTATCAATTACCGAAGAAACATTTTTAAAACCACATGATACAGAACTAGTAAAACCTAATAATTGCTCTTCAAGTTTAATTGTCATAACATAATCTTTCTTCAAAACAAAAGACAAAAGTTCATTAGATTTTTGCAGTATACGTTTCGGTGGGTAAACGTAACAGGTAGACTTCCAGAAAACATTGAAAGAGTGAAAATTAAACAAACCCACATACGCATCTATCTATCTATTAGACGGGCCTGTTGGTCTAGTGGTTAGTGACCCTGACTAGGCCGGAGGTCGTGGGTTCGATTTCCACCCAGGACAAATATTGTGTCATGAAAACAGTCATTTGTTCTATGTCTGGGTGTAATTTATCTATAATATGTATGTATTTAAAAGATATAAGTATGTTTATTAGCAGTCTGGTTACCTTCGTATAGGCTGTGCCTAGTTTGGAATCAGACAGCCGTGTGTGAAATATTATTATTATTACGAGTATTATTATTAATAAGAAGTGTCGAATAAACCATTATTTTTCATTGTTTTGTCTTAGTCATTTGTTATTAAAGATTACTTATTAGTTAAGCTTCTAAAGCTTATAATACTATTGTCACTGACCCGCAACTAAGCACTTACGATTATTTTTTCTTGACTAATAAGTGGCGAAGACTTTATTCTAAGTCTAGAAATGTTAATCACATAGCCGTTACTAGATATAAGGCTATTATTTCCATAAATGTCCATAATAGTTCTTTTGAAAACATGTATAATAAATTTGTTTATACGAATTTCAGACGGAATGATCCGATCCCAGGTCTGGCGTACAAATGCGCTACCACCACGCTACAGGGTTTGTTAAATTCTTGTAAAAAGCTAAGGACGGAGCTTAGAGCTTCGAGATCGTAAATAAATTAAAGTTGTAAATTATATCTTATGACTAAATAATCTTGTCAGATCTCTTTCCCTGAACAGCAAAACATAATGCCGCTGATACATTGTACCAACTTAATAGATTTACATCTATAATATACCTATAACAATCTAACTTGAACCTGGTACAATCCAAAGTTTAATAGTATCGCGGAGTTTGGTTCGAGTTGCGTGCCTCTATCTAGTCAGAGATCTGCTCTAATCGGCACCTGAGGCCTATTGCCGATACAATCCCATTTGGCGCCGCGACAACGGCCCATAGCGTGTTCTATTCAAATCGCCCGATCGGCTTTATACGAGCTGGAGTCAGTTTATTGAAAGTATATAGGTTTAGTCGTTATACAGCTCGTTGCTTTGATGAAAAATTTCAACTAGTATATTCTTATAAAAATAATAATATGTAGAAATAAAATTACTAAAATAAGTATTGGCATTCCAAGGTTCTTTGGGAATGTTTTACCTAAATGTACTGAAAATTAAATAAAAATCTCGAAAATCATTAATACGTTGTTGTTTTCGAGAGCCTCTGAAAAAAGTTTAATAGAGAACTTGACACATTGCATCTACTCGTATGTAATTTTTCAAACTTTACGTTCAAACGTTACCCGCGTTTGTTGTTATAACCGCGGGCAACGCCGCGGGGCGTAGCTAGTCTAAAAAAAGTAGCCTAAGTTACTCCTTATGTCATCAGCTATCTGCCAGTGAAAGTCCCGTCGAAATCGGTCCAGCCGTTCCAGAGATTACCCGGAACAAACAGACAGACAGACAAAAATTGTAAAAAATGATATTTTGGCATATGTACCGTGTAAACATACATATGCATTTAGTAAAAAGCGGTTATTTTAATATTACAAACAGACACTCAGATTATTTATTTGTATAGATTCGAATTTGGTCTAAGATTCGAGTAAAATAAAAAAAAACAATTTATTCGAATATTATTAGTGTCATTAAGTACATCCACGCGATTTACTTTTAAAGTTTGTAATTGTATTTAACGTTACTTTCCACTTTTTTATCGATCGTGTGTTTTAAAGATTATCCGCCCGTCAACAGTAAATTTGCTCAAACGGTTGATATTTATGATCAATATCTATTCGACAAGAGATGCAAAGATAACTATGAACGTTCCATTGTTAATAGGTTTCGAATACTTCGAGCCAGATCTAGATAAATGAGGCATTGTGTGTTCTAGATTGCTGTACTTTTAAAGAAACAAAGATTTAGAATTCAGAATTTAGATAAGGCACAATGTTTTCACAGACATATTGCAGTAGTTTTAAGAAACTTCAATAGTGCTTTTGGAAATTTATGAACAAAAAATTTTAAGGTTACATAAATATTGATCTAAAAAAAAAGAAATTAATTTTTATGAAAATATTATCAAAAGAATAGAATCATATTATATGACATCCACGTCTCACTAGTTTAAAAATCAAAATATTGTTGAAGATATTTAGTCTACCTAACATAAGAAAGCTATGGATAATATAATATATAGTATGAAAAGAGTTAATAATTTCACGGATCTAACAGTGGTAAGTTAGGTACAGGTTACAGAACCTCACTCTCTATCTGTGAAGCCTTTTTTTTGTCTGTGCGGCAATCCCTTCGGATACCAACTACCGGTGGTTAAGTCGGACAGGAACCGACCAAAACCAGGTGTACCCTAGGAAGGAAATTCCTGGAATC